TGGCCTCAACGTGCACCTAGCTTGGCACAGGCGCCGTGGTGACGTCACCGCCACTTAGTGGCGAATGGCGGTTGTTGTGTTTGTAAGCACTGGGGGAGACAAAGGCGGCCGGGCGTGGTGCTGGCCACCCACCCCCTCACGCGCCCCGCCGGTCTTCGTAGGTGCTCGCCAACAGCGAGTCTGCGAAGGCTATACGGGGGATCTTTGTCTTTGTGTGGGGAGCGGTGGTGCAGCGGTTAGCGCGCTGCGCTATGAACCCAGCGACCCGGGTTCGATTCCCGCTCACGGCCAACACCAGTGACGATTTTCTGAACCGGTCCTGGGCCTCCCCTGAGTCGACTCAGCCTGAAATGAGTACCTGGTGCGGCGTGTAAACAACGCCACTGGGGAGACAAAGGCGGCCGGGCGTGGTGCTGGCCACCCACCCCATCGTGTGCCGTGCCGGCCTTCGTAGGTGCTCGCGAACAGCACTTGCCCCTACAGTCTTACAGGCTACACGGGGGATCTTTGTCTTGTGAGTGTGTAAGGTGTGTGCGAGTGAGCACCAGACCAGGTGTTCAGACCCCCCCCCCTCTCACCTCCGCCTCAACCCCCTCACCCCCCTCACTCCCCTTCACCCCCCCCCTCACCCGTCTCACCTCGGATGCCTCCGCACACAAGAGACAAAGGTCCCCCGTGTAGCCCTTGACAGCCTCTTGGGGCAAGGTGCTGCTGAGCGAGTGACATCTCCGCAGGCCGGCGCGGCACGCGAGGGGCTTGGATGGCCAGAACCACGCCGCTCCGCCTTTGTCTCTCCACTCAGGGGCCAGCTGCTCAAGTCGACCTGGGGTCGGTGCAGGCATTCGCCACTGATGTTGGCCGTGAGCGGGGAACGTAGCGCCACCGCTCCCCATTCATACAACGACGAAGACGGAGACCCCCCATCCACCCCACCCCAGAGGCTCAATGACGCTGATGATGTTGATGATGATAATGCTCATACAGCCGATGGTGGCAATGTCAATGCCGCTGCTAATGAAGATGGCCATGTTTTTGTTTATTGTAGTACGGAGTTAGACTGATGGCCTTAATCTTAGTTGTCTTGTGGTTGTTGTTGTTGTTTGACTTGCATCCCACTGGGATTTTTGCACACAGCGTTGGTGTACGGTGCTATCTCAGGAATATTTTGATGTTTTTTTTTATCCTGGATTTTCTGTTTGGACAGTCACATGATCACTTTAAGATGTTTTTTCTTGTTCATGTGTTTTGTTTGTTGCGGTTGCACCCGATTCAAGAGCCGAATGGCTCACAGGGCTATACTAAAATAAATGGAGCTATGAACTAATCCTGGCGTTTCTGCAGGAGTCGACTAAAGCGATGTCTCTCTCTCGCTTCCACTCGCCCTCTCCATCTCTCTTCCACCCTCACGCCCAGTCTCTCACTCTCTGTCTATCGCGCTCTCTCCCCCACTCTCTCCCCCACTCTCTCCCCCACTCTCTCACACTTCTAATCTCCCTCCCCCGCCCTCTCAGTGACGAACTCTCAGCGTATCCCCTCTCTTATCCAACACAGGCAGCTGTCTGCACCGCCGTGCTGATGATGATGATGCAGGGGATTCCAGTAGGGGTGGTGGGGACAGAGGGAGTGGAAGGGGGGGGCAGGGGGGGGGTCTTCCCCCCATCTCCTCCCCCCTCCACCCCCACCCCCTACATAGCACGCGGGGTCACGTGGAAGGTCATCAAACTCAATTACGGGTGACTTAAGTGGACGGGTATTTATGTCCGTCCATCAACACCAGCTGCTATCGCCAGGGTTTCCATTCGCATCGCCATCGCGGCGGCGTTGACGACGGTGGTGATGGTGGTGATGGTGTTGATGGTGGTGATGGTGGTGTTGATGGTGGTGTTGATGGAGGTGATGGTGGTGATGGTGTTGATGGTGGTGTTGATGGTGTTGATGGTGTTGATGGTGGTGATGGTGTTGGTGGTGGTGATGGTGTTGATGGTGGTGGTGGTGGTGTTGATGGTGGTGTTGATGGTGATGATGGTGGTGATGTGTGGAGCGGTCGTGTCGTGGTTAGCACGCTGTGCCACGAGTTCGATTCCCGCTCACGACCAACACCGGTGACGATTATTTGAACCGGTCATGGGCCGCATCCCCTAGGTCTACTCGGCCTCAAATGAGGTGTGTAAACATCGCCACTAGGGAGACAAAGGCGGCCGGGCGCGGTGCCGGCCACCCCCCTCGTGTGCCGTGCCGGCCTTCGTGGGTGCTGTTATTCGCTGACAGCACTCGCCACAACAGGCTGCTGCAGGTTCGCACAGGGGCATCTTCGTCTGAATTTGATGATGATGGTTGGTGGTGATAATATTGGTGGAATTTGCAGATTCCTAACTCGTGCGCTCGCTTCGACTTGCCCGCCACCAACCACCACCAACCACCACCACCAACCACCACCACCAACCACCACCAACCACCACCACCAACCACCACCAACCACCAACCACCACCAACCACCACCAACCACCACCAACCACCACCGCAGCGACTGAATGGAGATCGTGCAGGCTGCGCGGGGGAGGGGAGCCTTTAGCTGTCACCCCGTTGCTGGCCGCGTCTCTACCGTCGGACCAAGAGTCCCTTCCGACCCTGATGCGTCCTGGCCCAAAGGCCCCTCGGCGTTTCTCAGCCCTCGAGGTGATGTCTCGGACTTTGGTCCCGAATCCACGCGTTCCTCTCAGTGTGGAGTGCCCAAGCGTACATTGTCGTGGTCTGTCCGCCGCTGCTAGATGATGATCATCGCGATGTCTCCGTCGTGTCTTAAGTTCTCGAAACCGCACGTCGGTGCGATCCCAAGCGTGCAGCTTCGTGGTCTTTCCGCCGCTGCGGAAATATTTGCGCGCACTCTTTGAGGCCTCGTCCCACGTTCTCTTGTCAGCGATCCCGTTTCGAGCCACACAAACACGCACACGCTGTACTCGCAGGTCGTATACATTCAGTGGTGGTCGTGCAGGAGTGAATCGACTGCTCACTCTGGCAAACGTCACTCCCTAACCTCGCCTCCAGGGTTCTCTCCCGGTTAAATTAAATACACCTGAAGCTATTGTCATTATCGCCATCATGTATGCGTGTTGAACTTCTTTCACACCGTACGTAGCCAACCGTGCTAATCGGGATGCGCGGGGGGAAGGACAGGAAACGAAATGCGATAAGTCGTTCTGACGTAATGAGTTGTTAAGATTATTTAAAAGTGCATCGCTCCAGTGGCTCTGATATCACCATCCACGTAGTCACCATCGCTATCATCGCCGCCGTCACAATTATAATCATGGTCAACATCAACATGAAACATCACCACCATTACCGCCATTACCACCATTCCTCCAGGATCGAACAATTATTGGCAATGTCCTGACATGATTAGTTTTGTTTCCTATGGATGGACCTGCCCCGTCACAGAACTGTGGAATTTCTCGCTTTCTGTCTACCGTCGCGCAGGCATCGAGACGAACAAAGACACTTAGAGAGCGACACTCTATAACAATAACAACTTTAAATAAACCAACGGAGTAACAGCCGCATCAGTATTACACTTAATGTGACGGTAACGGTATTATCCGGATTATAAGACGCCCCTTTCGTATTTTGAAGCAAGGGGGGGGGGTGGTAGTGCGTCTTATAATCCGGTAGCTACACGCGTGTGTGGTGTGTGTGTGTGCGTGTGTGTGTGTGCATGTGGGGAGCGGTAGTGTAGCGGTTAGCGCTACGCTGCGCTACGAACCTGGTGACCCGAGTTCGATTCCGGCTCACGGCCAAAATCAGTGACGACCATCTGAACCCGTCCTGGGCCTCCCCTAGGTCGACTCAGCCTCAAATGAGTACCTGGTGCGCTGTGTATAAACATCGCCACTGGGGAGACAAAGGCGGCCGGGCGTGGTGCTGGCCACCCGCCCCCTCGTGTGCCGTTCCGGCCTTCATAGGGTGCTCGCTAACAGCACTTGCCCCTACAGTCTGTTGCAGGCTGTACGGGGGATCTTTGTCTCTTTTTCATGCGGGTACGTGACGAGCTCCGTACAACTTTATTGCCCGCGGGCACAATCGTTGGGAGTCCGTGTTGTTTTCCGGAGCGTCTTATAATCGGGAGAATACAGCAGTCGACGTTGTGCGCAAAGACAACGGTTCACCCCGTGTCGCCTGTAACAGACTGTTGGGGCAAGTGCTGTCGGCGAGCAGCACCTATGGAGGCCGGGCACGGCCGCCTTTGTCTCCCCCAGTGTGCGACGTTTACCACGCACCGCACCAGCTACTCTGTTGAGGCCGAGTCGACCTAGGTGAGGCAGCAGGACCGGTGTTGGTCATCGGCGAGCGGGGGGAGTCGAACTCGGGCGGCCGGCTTCGCGGCGCGTCGGGGAGGGGGACGGAGCGGAGTCGGCGCTCGGCCCAAGCCGCGTGCGCACCACTTCGTGGGGGGGGGGGGGGGGGGGGTGGGGCGAGTGCTGTTAGCGAGCACCTATTAAGGCGGTTGCTTTGCGCGGTCAAAGCTCCTCGTCGCAATGCTGCACGGCTGCCGGCCCCCCGAATCGCATCGCACGACAACAACAACAACAACAAACTCGCCACGCTCCGTGTCAACAACAACAACAACAGTGTTTCGTGTGTGCGTGGTCTTGATAGGGGAGCGGTGGCGCAGCGGTTAGCGCTACGCTGCGCTACGAACCCGGCCACCCGAGTTCGATTCCCGCTCACGGCCAGCGCCGGTGACGGATTTTCTTGAACGGGTCCTGGGCCACCACTAGGTCGACTCGGCCTCAAATGAGCACCTGGTGCGGTGTGTGAACATCGCCACGGGGGAGACAAAGGCGGCCGGGCGTGGTGCTGGCCACCCACCCCCTCGTGTGCCGTGCCGGCCTTTATAGGTGCTCGCTAACAGCACTTGCCCCAACAGCCTGTTAAGGCTACACGGGGGATCTTTGTTCTTATTGCAAAACGTGTAATGTATGTATGCTGAACTTCTTTCGCGCCGTACGTAGCCAACCGTGCTCATCGGAGGTGCGAAATAATGGGCGACGTTCTGGGCAATGGCCCTTCTTCAGAGCTTAAAGAGAGAGGCCGGAGAGATGGGAGTTAATAATGATACTACGGGTTGAACTTCACCCCGCTTGCCTGCCTGCTCTCTCTCTGTGTATGCCCAATGCTAAAGAAGGATCATTGCCCGAAACGTCGCCTATTTGTTTGACGGGGAGAGGGTTTCTGGGTTCCACCACGGCCGCCTTTGTCTCCCCCCGCGTGCCGGTGTTGACGCGCGCACGCAATCGTTCCCGCGAGCCCGGGCAAAGTCACTTGAGGCCGAGCCGACCTAGGGGAGGCACAGGACCGGTTTGTACACCACGTGATGACCTCGGGTGAGCTTTTGACACAATCGCCATCGTTTTCATCGCCACCACCACCACCATGGTGTTCGTCACCAGTCCTTTGGGTGGATGGACTGCTCCCGCCATAGCAACGACGCCGTGTCTCATTGAGTCAAAATATCGCCTCTACATCGGTTAGAACCGGCATCATCATCATCGTCTTAATCGTCACCACCACCACCATCGATGTCTGTATCACCACCATCGTTGTAATCTTCATCGTTCTAACCATAAGTTATCATCGCCATCATCGTCTTCATCATCACCACGATAATAAGCGTCGCCATCGTATTCATCACCATCCTTTGGATGGATGGACTGGTCCCGCCATAGTAACGGTGGCGTGTCTCATCGAGCAAACGCATTGCATCAGTCGGAGTCGGCTTCTCCGGGAGGGCTCGGCTCGTCGCCTCCGAGGGGGTCCCGGCGGCCGCTTCCCTCCACTTCCCCCTGGCCCTCCCCTAGGTCCGCTTCGACGGAAGGTTGACCCCGCGGGGGGGACTGTGGGGCTCTCCGCTCCTCGGGTTGGGAGCTTTTCCTCGGGCGGCCCTTGGGCTTCGTCGGCGGATCTGTCACGCCGCCTTCCAGCACCTGGAGAGATGAGAACTGTCAGGGGCTGCAGTAGCATCATCATCAGCATCATCATCAGCAGCAGCATCAGCAGCATCATCAGCAGCATCATCATCAGCAGCAGCATCAGCAGCAGCATCAGCAGCAGCATCAGCAGCATCATCATCAGCAGCAGCATCAGCAGTAGCATCATCAGTCCATAATACACGTCATTGGGTTAGATAGCGGTTATCTATAAATGTGTCGTAACCCTCCACCACCCGACACGGCCAATCAGTAACAAATGTGTCACGTTGACAAAAGCCCAGCTGGTAATTACATCCAGCATCATCGGGCCCGATGATGGTGGATGTAATTACCAGCAAAACGTCGTACTTAAAAATTGTAAATTATGTTGATTCACTCTTCAACACACCGGTGGGCTAAAGTAGTGAACTATTTGTCTTTTTGTCAACGTGACACTTTTTTTTACTGATTGGCCGTGTCGGGTGGTGGAGGGTCACGACACATTTACAAATAACCGCGATCTAACCCAAAAACGTTCATTATTAATAATATTGGTCGCGAAAGCCTACACGTGTTAAACAGCATCATCAGTAATAACAGGAGCAGCAAAAATCATCAGCAGCATCGGCGTCATGAGCAGCATCAGCGTCGGTCATTATCATCAGCAGCATCGGCGTCATGAGTGGCGTCAGTCACCGGCAGCAGTAGCATAAAGCCGCAGCGTGATCATCATCGTCATCATAGTTTTGTAATCCTCATCAGCGGCAACGAGCTCAAGCCTCCCGTGAATCACGTGACCTCTGTGGGCCCACCCTCTCTCTGAACCCCCTCCCCTCTCCCCGCCCACTGTGAAAACAGACTCCGCTCCTCCCGCTGCGTACAGCAGCAGTAGCAGCAGCAGCTGCTGCTTCCTGCCTCTCCTCGTCTCCCCAGACCTCTCCGCTCCTTCTCCTCTCACCCCCCCTCCGTTCTCTCTCTTTCTCCCCCCCCCCCCCCCCCCCCCACTGGCTCTGTACCCCCCCCCTCCTTCTCGTGGTGTTCCCCCAACGCAGCGGCCGGCAACGCCTGCGGCTCCGGAAGCCGCAATGCGGTGGCTCTTTGGCTGCCTCCTCGCGGCAAACGAATAATTTTTTTCTTTTTTTTTGTAAACCGTTAAACATAAATGCGAACGCGAAGAGAATCGATGAAATGTGCCAGGGGGAATGGGTCACCGTGAATTGCCTTGGTGACGCCAACAGCGAGACTACGTTGTCAAACGATAACCAAGAGGCGGGTGGGGAGGGTGGGGGAAACGAAATAGCCGCAGTTTTATTCCATCACCGATCTTGCTTATTGAAGGCGGAATGCGGCTGTCACCTGCTGTGTGCATGTCCGCTGTGTCCGTGTCGTCGTCCGCGTCCTGCGGGGTGGCTCTGCGTGTGACTGGGGGTGGCTCTGCGTTTGACTGGGGGGGGGTGGCTCTGCGTGTGACTGGGGGGAGTGGCTCTGCGTGTGACTGGGAGTGGCTCTGCGTGTGACTGCGGGTGGCTCTGCGTGTGACTGGGGGTGGCTCTGCGTTTGACTGGGGGGGGGGGGGGTGGCTCTGCGTGTGACTGGGAGTGGCTCTGCGTGTGACTGGGGGTGGCTCTGCGTGTGACTGGGGGTGGCTCTGCGTGTGACTGGGGGTGGCTCTGCGTGTGACTGGGAGTGGCTCTGCGTGTGACTGGGGGTGGCTCTGCGAGTGACTGGGGGTGGCTCTGCGTGTGACTTGGGGGTGGCTCTGCGTGTGACTGGCGGTGGCTCTGCGTGTGACTGGGGGGGTGGCTCTGCGTGTGACTGGGGGTGGCTCTGCGTGTGACTGGGGGCTCTCGAAACGAGATTCGAAGTGCTCCCCCCGCCCCCCCTCGCTGTGCGAGAGGTCGCCGCGTGTGGTGTTGACCCAATGTGGGGGGGGGGGGGGGGGTGGTGGGCGCCTGATGAAGACCGCTCCGTGTTGCGATCGAAACGTCGTGGGTTTTTTTTGCATCGATTATTTTCAATTTCTTTTCAAATTTATTTGACTATTTTTTTTTAAATGTTATTGTGGGGGTTGTTTTTTTGCTTTGATTATTTTCAACTGATTATTTTTTTATTATTTTAATTAAAAAATTTCTTTTATCATTTTTATTTGATTTATTTGTCTTTTTTTTTGTTTCTTTTCTATTCGCGTGACTTCACCCAAAGAACCAACATTCTGAAGGGGGCCTCGTCGTCGTTTACCGTCTTTTTCCACTTCATGCGCCGGTTCTGGTACCAGGTCTTCACCTGCAACTGACTCAGTCCCAGGCTGTCCGCCAGGTCCATCCTCGTTGAGGGCGATCATCGGGAAAGCACAGACAACGACCGGTCACAGGCGAGTTACTTCCTTCCCAAACGAGCCCCACAGCACTGCGGAGCCAGTGGTGGACATTTCCACATTCATATGGCGGCGCGAGGGGGCAAGACCATCCATAGGACGACAACAACAACAACAACAATACCCAGCATTAGTCGAGAGCTGTGCGGTCTTGAAATAAACCAAAAAACAAATAGCGACGTTTTGGGGCATTGGGCCTTTTTCATAGCACATGCATGCTATGCAGATCATTCATTTGCGTTGCCCTGAATAAGGGCCATTGCCCGAAACGTCGACTAAGCAATGCATTTTCATTTGAAGGCCAAACGTACGTTGGTGTTACTGTTGTTGAGTGTTGTTGTTGTTGAGTGTTGTGTTGTTGAGTGTTTTGTTGTTGAGTGTTCTTGTTGTTGAGTGTTATTGTTGTTGTTGAGTGTTATTGTTGTTGTTGAGTCTTGTTGATGTTGAGTGTTGTGTTGTTGAGTGTTATTGTTGTTGTTGAGTGTTATTGTTGTTGTTGAGTGTTGTTGATGTTGGCCTTGCTTTTATGCACCACTGCCAACGCTGCAACAGCGGCGGCACCACCAACATTTCCCCCACCAAAGTGGTGCTCGTTTTATCGACCCCCCCCCCCCCCAGGAGGGAGGGATGATGATGATGGGCTGAGCAAACCCGCGACGAGCATCCAGGATTGGAGCTCATGAGACTCGTGCCATTGTTGGGCCGCCCTGCGTGTCGTCGTGGTGGTGGTCCTGGGCCTCCTCTAGGTCAACTCAGCCTCAAATGAGTACCTGGTGGCGGTGTGTAGTAAACATCGCCACTGGGGAGACAAAGGCGGCCGGGCGTGGTGGCTGGCCACCCACCCCCACGTGTGCCGTGCCGGCCTTCATGGGTGCTGCTCGCTAACAGCACTTGCCCCAACAGTCTGTTAAGGCTACACGGGGGATCTTTGTTGTGGTGGCAGCAGTTGCCCTGACGCTGCTTGATCCACTGCTGGATGAAGGCCTCCCCAAAGGAGTCGCAATCCCCATCGGTAAATGATTCGAAATCAATACATCGATGTTTAGAACTCGAATATCAAGACAAAGATCCCCCGTGTAACCTTTAATAGACTGTTGGGGCAAGTGGTGTTAAGGGAGCACCTGTGAAGGTCGGCACGGCACACCCCACGCCCGGCCGCCTTTGTCTCCCAGTGCTGATTTTGATGTATACACACACATATACTACGCACACACACTATACACACGTATATACTACACACACACACTATACACACGTATATACTACACACACACACTATACACTTATATACTACACACAAACACTATACACACTTATATACTACACACAAACACTATACACACACTTATATACTACACACACACTATACACACTTATATACTACACACACACTATACACACACTTATATACTACACACACACACTATACACACACGTATATACTACACACACACTATACACACACTTATATACTACACACACTATACACACACTTATATACTACACACACACACTATACACACTTATATACTACACACACACTTATATACTACACACACACACTATACACTTATATACTACACACACACTACACACACTTATATACTACACACACACACTATACACACACTTATATACTACACACACACACTATACACACTTATATACTACACACACACACTATACACACTTATATACTACACACACACACTATACACACTTATATACTACACACACACTATACACACTTAAATACTACACACACACTTATATACTACACACACTATATACACACCTATACTACACACACTATATACACTTATATACTACACACACACACTATACACATATACTACGCACACACTATATACACACATATACTACACACACACACTATATACACTTATATACTATACACACACTATATACACTTATATACTACACACACGCACTATATACACATATATACTACACACACGCACACACTATATACACACCTATATACTACACACACTATATACACTTATATACTACACACACACTATATATACACTTATATACTACACACACACTATATACACTTATATACTACACACACACTAATAATATATAAACACACTAATACTATATAAACACACACTAATACTATATAAACACACACTAATACTATATAAACACACTAATACTATATAAACACACACTAATACTATATACACACTAATACTATATACACACAAATACTTATTATAAACACACATACTAATACTATATAAACACACTGATACTATATATAAACACACACTAATACTATATATAAACACACACTAATACTATATATAAACACACACTAATACTATATATAAACACACACTAATACTATATATAAACACACACTAATACTATATAAACACACACTCATACTATATAAACACACACTCATACTATATAAACACACTAATACTATATAAACACACTCTAATACTATATAAACACACTAATACTATGTAAACACTAATACTATATAAGCACACACTAATACTATGTAAACACACATTAATACTATGTAAACACACTAATACTATATAAACACACACACTGATACTATATAAACACTAATACTATATAAACACACACTAATACTATATAAGCATATATAGTATTAGTGTGTGTTTATATATATAGTGTGTGTTTATATAGTATTAAACACACTAATACTATATAAACAAACACACTCATACTATATAAACACACACTAATACTATATGAACACACACTAATACTATATAAACACACTAATACTATATAAACACACTAATACTATATAAACACACACTAATACTATATAAACACACTAATACTATATAAACACACACTAATACTATATATACACACACTAATACTTATTATAAACACACATACTAATACTATATAAACACACTGATACTATATATAAACACACTGATACTATATATAAACACACACTAATACTATATACACACACTAATACTATATATAAACACACACTAATACTATATATAAACACACACTAATACTATATATAAACACACACTCATACTATATAAACACCCTAATACTATATAAACACACACTAATACTATATAAACACACACTCATACTATATAAACACACATTAATACTATATAAACACACTAATACTATGTAAACACACTGATACTATATAAACACACTAATACTATATAAGCACACACTAATACTATGTAAACACACACTAATACTATATAAACACACACACTGATACTATATAAACACACACTAATACTATATAAGCATATATAGTATTAGTGTGTGTTTATATATAGTGTGTGTTTATATAGTATTAAACACACTAATACTATGTAAACAAACACACTAATACTATATAAACACACTAATACTATATGAACACACACTAATACTATATAAACACACTAATACTATATAAACACTCTAATACTATATACACTAATACTATATAAACACACACACTAATACTATATAAACACACACTAATACAATATAAACACACACACTAATACTATATAAACACACTAATACTATATAAACACACTAATACTATATAAACACTAATACTATATAAACACACTAATACTATATAAACACTCTAATACTATATACACACTCTAATACTATAAACATACACTAATGCTATACACACACTAATACTATTTATATGAACACACACTAATACTATATATAAACACACACTAATACTATATAAACACACACTAATACTATATAACACACTAATACTATATAAACACACACACACTAATACTATATAAACACACATTAATACTATATAAACACACTAATATTATATAAACACACACTAATGCTATATAAACACACACTAATACTATATAAACACACACTAATACTATATAAACACACTAATATTATATAAACACACACTAATGCTATATAAACACGCACCAATACTATATAAACACACTAATACTATATGAACACACACTAATACTATATAAACACACACTAATACTATATAAACACACACACTAATACTATATAAATAAACACACTCATACTATATAAACACACTAATACTATATGAACACACATGCTATATGAACACACACTAATGCTATATAAACACACTAATACTATATAAACACACTAATACTATATAAACACACACTACTACTATATAAACACACTAATACTATATAAACACTAATACTATATAAACACACTAATACTATATAAACACACACTAATAATATATAAACACACTAATACTATATAAACACACACTAATACTATATAAACACACTAATACTATATAAACACACTAATACTATATATACACACACTAATACTATATATAAACACACTAATACTATATAAACACACTAATACTATATAAACACAGACTAATACTATATATACACACTAATACTATATAAACACACTATTACTATATATACACACTAATACTATATAAACACGAATACTGTATAAACACACACTAATACTGTATAAAGAAACACTAATACTATATAAACACACTAATACTATATAAACACAGACTAATACTATATATACACACTAATACTATATAAACACACTATTACTATATATACACACTAATACTATATAAACACGAATACTGTATAAACACACACACTAATACTGTATAAAGAAACACTAATACTATATAAACACACTAATACTATATAAACACACACTAATACTATATAAATACACACTAATACTACATAAACACACTAATTCTATATAAACACACACTAATACTATATACACACTAATACTATATAAACACACACTAATACTATATATACACACTAATACTACATAAACACACTAATACTATATAAACACACACTAATACTACATAAACACACTAATACTATATAAACACGTAATAC